ATCGTCTTCTGGAGTCTCTTCCAAATGCTCCACTGTCAGATGTGAATTCATACTGGGACGAGATCACCATATCTTTGCACAGTGTTGGGAGTTTTGCTTGTGGTACGGCGCTACCAGCTCACTCAAGCACTGGTTATAAGACCAAACAGTGGCACTGCTTAAATCTCGGAGAACTATCCCTGTTGGTCCCGAACATAACGTGACGAATTATCAGAGGTCAAGCGAAAGTGAGCGTAAAGTCTGGTGGACACAGCAAGCTAAGTAAACGGAAGGGGTCCAGAAAACCGGTAATGCCCAAGTATTATCACAGTTGATCCGCACGACCAGTCTCCAGAAACCTGTGAGCGAAACCATCAAGGATCTGACAGGATTGACCATCTTGAATAAAGAGGAACGCTCCGACTGGTGGGCTAATTGCTTCGAATAACAGTTATCGTGGCTACCAGCTGTCACTCACCTGGAGCCCACAGTTGACGTAGATCCATGGATGGTTAACCTGGAACCCCCTACAGCCAAGAGGTTTACGACTGCATATGTTTTCTCAAGCGCCACCGAGCCTCTGGACCGGATGACCTTCCACCCGCATCGTTCAAAGACGGGGGTGAATTCCTCACTTAGCGCTTGTCTGATCCGTTTGCCTGCATATGAGGAAGGAATCTGTCCCAGACAAAAGTGAGTGTGGTAAGCACAGGGGGGTCAGCCCCCCCGGTTATACCGAGGCTTGGTCGCCCTATGCTGATTCGCGAGACACTGACTTGAGAGCAGCAAGCGGGGTTCCGGCCTGGTAGTATTTGCGTTGACCACATCGTCACACTCCGCCAGGTGCTACAACAAAGCCATACGTACGGAGAGCTCTCCAAAGGCCTCCGTACCCAAAGCGCTGTCCTTCAGGGGAGCCCACTCTCTATTCCTGTTTCCTTTCGTGATCGATGAGATACTGAGACGAACGCTAGAAGGTCTGCAAAACCCCAGTGTTCAAATAGCCTGTGACGAAAACCTTGTCCATCTACAACGTGTAGACGATTTTGTTCTCGCCTTCGAAGAGGACAAGGTGCAGGTGTTTTTGAATGAACTGACCCACAAAATGTAAGGTCATGCTCGTGGACACGGAGTCACTAAACACTCCACTTGCATTCCAGGGAGAGGCACTCGAAGTTGTGGAGCGTTTCATAGTGATTTGATACGAATCAAAGACCACAGCAGACCAGGAGAACGCTGGACCAATGCAGGAAACAGCACGGTGGCATTTAAAATAAGGCGATTTTGGTGAAGTCTCAGTCATGTCAACGAGCCACTACGAATGGTATACCGGATACCGTTGGTTTCGGGCAAATCGGTCAATGCCGAAGGGATTAACTCGGCTGAAAGTACCAGCGGAAAAACGCCGGAATTGAATAGAGATGGATTCGGGAGTTCTGCCATCAAGATGTATTGTGGCATGGCCTCACACAGCAGCTCAACGGTTCGAGAACGTCGGGAGCGGCTGAATGACTATGCACACACCAGAATACGGGACCCAGCAGGCGGAAATAGCACACAACGAGCGCGTCAGCCTCCCATATTTAGACAAACTTGTCGGTTGCCAGTTTGATTAGCCGCAGCCAACGACTGACCTTGTGATTCATCTCGTTACACTGTTATATATATTGGAATCATCAGCAGTGTGCATCCCACGAAACTCTAGGGTTTTTAGGATCTGCAGCCTTCCGGCTAGTAGTTTGAACACTTGACCGTTCGGTTCGTCAGGAGTGTGATAAGCTCGCACTTTGGACGTTGCATCGATTACCCTTTAATCCACATCACGTGGTCATGTATTGATGGCCCCTTGAGTGACGACTACTCATATGGAAGTCTCACTCTTCAGGTGAATTATATTTCTCCTGAGCTATTTATAGATGAATTAAACTTCCATCTGACAAGTCGTTACTCGAGAGGCCAGTCTATACATGACCACGTGATGTGGTTTCCGTGACTGAAGGGTCAGTGGCGCTGTATCCCGTCTAAGTGCGAGTTAATCACAATGGTGATCGGCCACCCGTGACACAAAGTTCAAGTGTTCAAACCATTATCTGTGAGGTCGTGGGTTCGAAACTTCCTTAAGTTTCGTGGGGTGCGCACTACCAATAAGAATGAAACAGCCATGCATTGCTTCTCTGCTTTTCAGCACAAATCCATTAGCTTCACTCAATCTCACTATTAACAAAGACAGGGGTGTCTACTTCAAAAAGCAGGGCGGCAGAACCTTAGAATTGAGAAGGACGAGTCGCCAATCATCCAGTGAGCGATTCTGTTTCTTCACTGTCCGGAGGCTCACACAAATAGGCTGTCCAAGAGAAGAGGAACTGCTAGACTTGAAACAGTGAGGAATAACGAGGCATTCTTCACGAGCTCAAGTTGTCTGGGAATGACGATACATTTCTCAAGGTTACGCGGAGCAGTGATATGGCCAGTCTGACCCTCCTGGCTTGTCGGTGAGGAATTCTAGAATACACCGCGTCAGGTGCATATCGGTGGAGAGAAACTGGTAAGATTAAATCATGACATGGCACGATGGTCAACAGAAACAAGATGAGAGACACAGGAAAAGTTTAACTGGTTGGGACTTGGGGTGAGAAAATGGTCAAGATTGTGTGTGGTCTTGTTACCAGCTCGAAAGTGGATGAGCTGTGAGGGATCATAGAGAGGTTGGGAAATCCCCAGTGCACGACTACCTGCGTCGATGCCAGTTATAAAAGATGTTCGATCGATTCACTAATTAAATTATAGACATTTGGGTCAGAACCATTCGGGATTTAACAGAGGCAGCCACAACTCTTGTTCGCCTACAAACGAATGAACCACAAGGTTTGAAAGCCGAAGGTACAACGATCGAAATATCGGGCCACCTTTGAGAAACTGAACTCAAGTATAAACACCAGCTTTGAAACCAAACTGGACAAGGGTGACGTTTGGAGGTGGGAAACGTTGAAATTAGGGAAGTGAGGGTTGCTTTCAAGAATATAACTGGAGTACATGAAGATGACAGAATATGCCGCAGTTTAAATGACACATCGATTGTCGCAAAACACTGGAACGATGTTTGCGGTATGCGAGACCTTGAGATGAAGGTCGGATTTCCAATGTTCTCGTGTCTTGTCTGCTTGAAAAAAGCCAAACCCGGCATCCGAATCCAAAGGAATTAAGGTGATGAACCATAAGGGGCTTGTCCTACCTCCGATGGAATCAGGGCCACTCTCCTTCACTCACAACCGCATCTGCATGGGGAAATCACCTACATGGTGTATCGGACTACATTGCGGACTGCATTGTTGAGATTTGACTAATTCAGAGGAGAACATGGGACACCTCCATGTTTCAGAACTCCAGCTGAATTCGGCGGAAACCAGCAAATTTGGGATGACCTGATCAGGTCTTTATTGTACCATGTACTCACTCAGCCCTGCAAGTTAAGGTCTTCGGGACGTGTACCACACATGCCGGGCTAGTTTTTACCGGAAGATGTCGTTTTCCGTGCCTAATTCGGAGTGGCTGAAATTTAGTGGACAAAATATATAACATGCCAGAGGGAATTGGCGGCCGCTGATGTTGTTCATGTATCCCGTCCTGGGCTTGGCCGGAAACATTGGTCAGTATAGTGGCCAACCGGTGGCAGCGGTGTTCATGCTGTCAGGTCATCTGGCTGATTGTTGGAGATGTAAGCACCTCGAACGTTTCTGGAAGACTAGATATCCCTCCCTGTCAAATTTTTCCTTCCATCACGATGCTTTATTCAAATAAGCTGATATAATCGTACATCAGTGAAGCACTGGTATTCTCGTCTGGTATTGCTGTCAGTGAGTGCGATCATTCCAGTGAACATTCCAACACAGTACCACTGTTACATGATCTGGCCTGCTCTCCGTTTGTGACGTTTACCAACCCTTTTCGTAGGTGATACAAAGTGACACCTTTCACAGACAAAATGAAGGTAAAGGACTAGGGGCCTCACCCACTCCTTACACCGTCAAGGTGCAGTCATATAGTGCAAGAGCCATATCAAATACCACGGCAAAGCGCGATAGCGTTCGGAGTCATTTTTATGTGATGATCGAGCATGGTTGGCCTGCGTATCGGTGTGAAAATTCAACGGCGGATTTTAGAAACCACATAGTGTTGAAACGCGGCTTTCATGAGTGCCACAGCAGTCGAATTGCGCACCCTCAAGGCTCTTGTGGTGACCACTGTCATTCAGTCATTCGAGTTTGGCGTGCCGGTTTGTCTGATGACGTCACACAGGAGTGTAGGTGGTGGGCAGCTCCATAGGTCTCGAAGCGGAGGGTTGAATTTCACTGACAAGCCTTCATTAAGTTACTCCTCTGGCTAACGCAACATCATTGTGGTTCTGCTATTCAGCTATCTACCTATGCCCACACCATGTGATTATGAATGATAAACTTGATGTCACACTTGAGCGTCAGTCTTAACCGAGGTGACAGTTCCCTTTCACAATCATTTCATGTCAGTAGGACTGCAAGACGGAAACTGCACTTGTCCGGTGGGTTGCGTAATCCGAGCAGGCATAAAATTGTCTAATTCGATCGGCTATTTCACGAAGGATCCTGCACGACATCATCACATCAGACAAACTGCACTTTTAAATTATGAACCTTAAAGCACAAAAAAACTTGTTTGTTGATCTGTCCCCCAATCTTGACGGTTAATTTGCGAACGTTTGCATGTTAATTGACAAGCTTAGCGAATAGGTCAATAGCCACCTGACCAACAACCAATAAACTCACCGGAGTTACAAATCTTTCGACACATTGTGGTACACAAGCACGTCCATCGTAACACATCTATTATTCCGACCCTGACCACTGGACACTTCATGGTGTACTTGTTTAAACTCGAGATCAGAACGACAGATACAGTGCGAGGCAGAATATGTCCGTTTGTGTTACCGGGCATGAGAGTTGTACTCATTGATCCTCTGGATAATGGTACCAGCAGCGCTCAGATATCTATGCAATACGGCCAGCCTCGCCTCTGAGTTTAGTCTGTGGTGTTGAGTGCTTTTCCGTTGTACTCCCACACTGTTCTTTCGTGACCACTTTGACGTATACACAACGATCGATTCTCCATCCAAAGTACACGATCGCGGCCACTTCCGGAAGCAGTTTAAACGTTTGCGCGGATGGTCGATTAATACGGCCTTTATACTCGACAATACATATTGCTGCATTCTTCTTCAAATCGTGACAACTTTAAAAGGCGGGCCACAGTCAAGTTAGATTTTGTCTCCTTAGTTAAGCCACCCTTTGTTATAAAACCGAAATGCACAGATTGGTTTAACGAAATTCCAATTGAAAATGACCAGTTCTTAGCACACTAACGTCAGACTAACGTCAGGACTTAAGAGCGCATAGAGAGCTGTGTACTGAGACATTTGGTGGATATCCGAAACAACCCTTGAGGCCCCTGATTTTAAATCACAGGTTATCGTTACACTGCCATAGAAGGCCTGCAGTGAACTATTCAAATATAGTCAGTGACCGGAAATCTGTGTGAATCCCCTTGGGGAAGTGCCGCGTGATTCCTTGTGTAACCAGTTGGGAACAACTGAATGCGTTCTTTTGTGAACAGTGTAAGCAAAGGATTGTTCCTAAAATCTGAAGCTAATTTTGCTTTCGGAGTGGAAGCTTTCACAGCAAGACTTCCAGCTTTTTGCAGCCTTGCTGAGATTTTGGGGAAGACATGGATTTATGTATGTCCGTAGATGTGTAAGCGTTAACCATACCGTGCGCGTAGTATAAGGGCTGATGCAAAGCTCGCCGATTTACCTCATCCTTAACAGCAAATGCGATGCCCTCTGAATCTTAAAGGTCAAATGAAAGCTATTCGGCTTTGTAGCTCTGAAACTATCTTTTCATTGTCGTCGTGTACCACGCTGTTGTTGCTCTTGGTGATTCAATGCAACGCAGGAGCTAGCTGACATCAACAAACATGTAACAGAATGATGCATAAGAAAGACTCAGCCTCTAAATTGGAAATCACGGCGTATTAGGCCGATTAATATCGATCATATGCCCGAATGAGCGCTGTTTTATTCGTAATCGCGGTAAAATAGTCTGATCTTTTAAACCACACACCCGAAAGTAGTGGATGTCTTGGCGCTTTCCTGTTTGGAATCCACGTAAGCTAATTTTTGAGAGTTTTTGTACCTTAACGCAGAAGACGACCGGACTTGAGTTGATGTTTACACTTCTTGGCCTACCGTTTGTACTGGGCTTGTATTTGTGAAGGTTGGTAATTGTACTCTGTTAGATTTGTTGATGCGTGGCTTATAAAGATATATACGGAAAAATTTCCGGAAGTAAGGCGATTTGTACGCCATCATGATCTTCAACGATTGGCTTGCGAGCGCGTTCCATCTTCGGTGGTACCAAGTGAGGCAAGTCGACACCTCACCCAACAGGGACGAAATTCTTTGTACACGGACAGTGTTTCCGTGTTTCAAAGCGATCTACTTCCTTGTACACAGCCACACCGTCTACTTGTAACATTTGCTGTGTAGAATATGGGCAGCATCAAGTAACACTGCTACTTCAAAGGAATAGTCTGTCTGCACACTACCGGGAAAGATTTCCCTGTCGTCGCAGCCCCGTAGAATCATTCTAGCTTACTCATGTATCCCACTCATATGGCAGCGTTGACAAGATTCTTGCTTCAGTAAAACTGAATGACTCTCGGTTGGTGTGTGGTCAGCAAGTTTCCGTCGGATCTGAGCTCATTTTCGAGGCCTAACTAGTGCAATCAGGATCCGGTTGACAAGAAGAGAGTAGTAAGTCTACCACCAAGCCCGCCGTGACCGGCGACCATCAGGAATTCCAGGTAGACGAAGACAGTAAAGATGGTCATGAGTGCCCAACGAGTGGGTAAGTAAGACTACAACGCTGAAATGCTGAGACTTAGTCTCGAACAGACAACTGCACCTATTTAGTCTGTCCATCACTTTGGCCAGTGTGGCTTACCGGTCAGACTGTATCAGCGATTGAACATTGTAAATTAATATTGAGTGAGAGCATGGGAATGCTATCTAATTGTTAGTTTTTAATCATTGGTATCAAATTGCTGAGCACACGTCGTCACACGGCGGAACCGAACAGGCGAAACGTGTGACGAGTACCAGTATGGATCAATCAATCAGTATGGATTTGATTGATGCAAATCACCGGATCACTCCGGCTGAGTCCTTCAGCTAGAGTGCCAACAGGTCGTTCCAAGTCTGTCAGATAAAACGCGCTTGCAACAGCAGAGGCGGTTTTCATCTGATTACACGAACCAATATTGTCACGTGATCCCACCAACCTGATCAGCCACGGTTTTGAATCGATCCCCGTTGAGTGACATAAATAACGCCTTTTTATCGTACTATTTACCGCCTAGACTACTTTTACGCAAATATTCAACTGTGTTTGCCAGTCATGACTATATCGAAAACAGTTGTTCGTATTTCCAAGTGTAATGTAATAACGTGCATATCCAACAGCTACTGGTTCGTACTCCACTTCGTTTTTCGAATCTATGGATGCTGAACATACTACGTTTTGAATTACACCCCAAATGCAGGTCGTGACATTCATTTCAGATTTCCGTGTAATTGTTTTGGGCTTTGAGACTAAGTTTACATAACCATGTTATGGATAGTACGTCAATTTTCGGATATTTTCGCACAATTTTAGCAGTGATGTGAGCATGATTCCTCAGCGTTATTCAAGAAACTGACATGAACTGTTTTGCGAGATAATTTTGACCACGAGATTGTGGTGGCGCATGATATACACTCGCCAGTTTCATATATCTGCGATGGCCACAAACCTTGCATTTTGACCAGAAAACTAACTAAAGTTACTGTTGAAAAATTCCGAAAACCCTGCACATGCCAAATGATCTGGTAACACCACTGTCAAACCAGAAACCGATAATCTTTCTCGTAGTTGGCATATACATTCTATTTTTGGGGTACGACCAAAGGTTCCGACGGACATGAGGATTCTTCATCAGACAAAGCCTGTGACATCAAACATCTGCTGGTCGGTTGCTTTGTTCACTCAGTGACTTTCTGTTCGGTGCACTTCGCGGCCCAAAGACAACAGAGGCGCACAACTTTTCGGTGAACAAGTCACGTTGACTTCTAAACAAAGAGATATACTTTTGAATGAGCTTTTTCAAGGCGCCACGCTATCAACAGTTTATTTAATTCTTTACATTCTTGGTAGAACGCTACTCATAAGATTGCTGAAATCTCTTCGACAACCTACCACCGGATCCACCCTGCTTGAAGATCATCAAATAGGCGCAGTCTCCGAGTTTCCACCACCCTCATGTTCTGTCTGTGCCCAAGCTGTACACGGTTCGAGAACACGAGGATTGTTCCACCTGAATAGCACTTAAGAAAACAGACCCAAAAGTGACAACCCGATAGCAACGACCCGGGAAAAAGTGAATTGGTTCGGAGCTTGCTTAATTAGTTGCTCGTTAAGCTGTCTTCGAGAACCTGAACCTAGTAGCCTACAACTGTGCAAGTACAAATTAATAACGGGATACTTTAAGTCAAAAGAATCGAACACCGTGCAACCCACTTTCCACTTGAGCGGATCAGCTGCTCTGGAGATGTCCGTTTTTCGATTAACTGAAATCTAATGTTATAGGACTGACACTGGTAATACATGAGGGAATCCGAGTATGTCCCCAAAAGTGGTCTCCCTATTTGAATGGCTTTACTGTATGAGAGACAAGTGAAATGAATTTCTTACATGTGTCTGGGTCGCTGAATATGCACAGTGACTCTCCTAGAGAATAAAAAGCTCGTACACTAGAACGCGTAACCTAACATCGACTCATCAAACTGGCACACACAGTACGGTTTGTTCTCGCCACTGAAGACCAGCGCAGTTAGAACATTAGAACAACCATCTTCAGGTATCCAAGTTACTTTGAAAGTGATAACGACCCCTGAGAAAACTTAGGCTTACTGTGTTGTGCCAGAAGTAATCAATCCAACCGAGGTCACAAACCGGTTCCGATCCATGGAAAATCCGACAGGAATATGCTTAACCCCACGAGACACAACAGCTTTGTCCCCGGGGGGAAGCATCAACTTGGTATTTCATCAGCTGACCTACAGGGAGGTACCTGGTTGGACGATAAATTCAGTGACACATGTTTGGTGATTTCAACTGTCGACAACAATCTGAATGAACATCCTGAAACCAGTTTATTTTAATCTTTGGCTGTAGTCAGTCGGTAAAATGGGGGGTGATCGCTTGTTCAGATTCATCACTGACGTGTCTCATCCAATTAGAGGTGAAACAAAGAAGGTAAGATCGAAGACTTCTTCGATTACAACCAGTCTGCAATACAGACCCGAAAACTAATCGATAACAAGGGTCATTTCCAGAGACTAGTACGAATATAAACATACGCACACAATTGCTCAAAGTACTCTCACTGACGTCACTGAGCAACTCGTTACACAACAACCCACGTCATCTGGATTGGTGGTGAAACGTTTACATCCAAACTCTAAAACTCGCAATACGACCAAATACGTGCCAGCAATCATGAAAATGCTGAACAGCTCCAACCAGGAACAGAACGAACGAAGGGGTAAACAATATCCCTCAGTGTGACTGAAAGTTCCAAATCAAACCGTTTTGACACGTCATAAATATTTAGACAATCTGAGCAAATATAATGAAGCTAGGTTACCATCATAAAACGGGGCATATCACTCTGGATCCATAGATTGCTGGGAAGTGTCTATCATTTGCATTTGTTTTGTGAGAGGTTCTAGTAAGTCCAAAGAACATCCAAAGAGCCCTTTAAGTCAATGCATTGTCTAATTAGCCCATCTTTTTTTAGTTTATGCCAGACGGTAGGAAATCTGTCCACCTGGCAATTGCTTTTGTCAGCTGAGCGATGTGATTGTGTACGTTTGGAACAAATACAGTTTTTATTCCCTCCGAAGAACTGCAACATGCCTAATGCAACTACACTCGCTTGTTGCTTTCTGAAGTCGTAACTGAAGAGAAGTGTAGCGATGTAACCAAAATTTTTGGCGTTTTTAGAGTTACGGGATAATGGTGAGACTCAGAACCTGTTTTATGGCAATGACTGTCTTTGAACCAACCAGATATAAGCAACGACACAAAACAATAGTACCAAATGAGCGGACCACATTCATTTGAATGTGGATGTGG